CTATGTTGTCAGTGATGATACATGTAAGATATGTAGTAAGGATCCAAATGAAACATTTAATGAACATATCTAAGTAAGTTGTTGAATGAAGGAGAAGGTTTGCCTACCGTGGGTCCATAGCCGAAATCAGCTGCTTTAGATGGATCATACTGAGCAGCAAAGTTCTGTAGGAGAGAAAACGTTTGAAATTCATATGACACATAAGAACTTCATTAATACAATCAGGCTTTTAGATTTATTTTATATGCTCAGATTTTTGTTCTATTTTCTGGATAATGGTTTATTTTAATGTCCTTAAAATCTATAATAATGGCAACATTTATTGAGTGCATTTGTGTTTATTAAAAAAATAAATGTCCCTTAATAATAATTATGCCATTTCACACAACTCTCTCAGCAACATTTATTCAACAGTAGGTGAGAGAGACTGATAATGTGAGTTGAAAATTCAGAACATAAAACTTACGCCCATTTAGAAGAGGTAAATATTCTTAAATCACCTAAATCATTTTGGACAAGTCTCAATTTCAGACGCTATGTACATTTATCCTTGCACCAACCAGCTGGACTTAATGTTCCACCCCTTTAAGCCTGCAAGTGAGCTAGGGCTCTGCAGCTTTTCAGAATACCTGAAGTGCCTACATTCTCAAGAAAACTATAGTGGACTTTATGCATTTCCATCAACATGAGCCTTGCAGATTTTTGATAGGAGAGGTTTTCCTTACTGAAATCTTTAGAGAGAAAATGCTCTGTCCAACTCTTAAACCAGGACGAAGTAGAAAATATTCCTTTCATGCTTTGGATTCCTTTTAAATTCCTATTATTTTAACTTAATCTTTTTATTTCAGTTTTATGTCTGCTAAAAGGGAAAAAACAAAAAACAACAAACAAAAAACCCCATTTCTTTTCCCAGTGAAGATGAAAGTGGGTTAATCTCCCTGGTGCCCCAGGGATTTACAGTGCCTCCCCATTAACACGTCATCTCTAAGACCTTATGCCTCTCATGACGTTAATGTAGGGTACTCAAAGGGTTAAACAGGCATATCAAGGCCTTCTGAGAACAAGCAAAGCACACATTGTTTCTGCAAGAAGGCTAGAGGAGACACGATCCATTTAAGCTCTGAGACATAATATTGTTCATACTGAAAAATTCAGAGGGAAGAAAGATGTAGTTTATTTGCTAGTAAGTAAGAAAGAAGCTAGGACATACTCTCCAACATTCCCATATACGCAACTTCAACACTGACTGTTAACGTATAAAAAGTTAGCACAGTCTGATCTTCCATTGCCATGTTGTTTCACCATAACAGTATGTTTACTACATTTTTATTTTATTTATATTTTATATATTTTATATTATTTCTACACTTGGTTTCAATACTAACTTCCCCTCACCTGACGCCAACAGCAAAAAGTGCTGTCTTGTTTGCCCATGAGCTTAATCAGTATGGATTTCATTTAGTTAATTCCTGAATAACAAAAATATGTTATGGGTGCACAGATCTGAGATGTTCAGACAAGAAAAAAAAATAGCATTAGGGAATCAAGGAGTTAATTCTCCCCTTCCTGCATGTGCTAAGCACCCAACTCACATTTATATGGGTCCCAAATTCATCATGGGAAATATACCCCTTGAAGAAAATTTCAGTGAAATGGAATGAAGAATCCCATCCCATTCTAAGCCCAACAGAATGTTTTATCCTATTCTAAAGTGAAATGCCTTTATTTTCTGATATATGTATATTTAATCATCAGATGCTACAATGCATGGATGATCAGTTTCAGTAATGAAAATTTGGATGTCTTACTCCGCCAAGACCTGGAGGACCAGGGAGGCCTGGTGGCCCTGGTGGACCATCTTCACCATCTATGCCGGGTACACCTGGTAGACCCTAGAGTCAAAAAGATGAAAATGAAGTGAATGTTAGGAGTAGTTGAAGAAGACTCTGAACTTGTGAAATCATAAGTAAGAAAGAAGCTAGGACATACGCTCCAACATTCCCATATATGCAACTTCAGCTGACCGTTAACTTCTAAAAAGTTAGCACCGTCTGAACTTCCATTGCCATGTTATTTCACCCTAACAGTACATTTACTATGTTTTAGAGCACTGAGGCTCTTTGGAGATTTTATTAGATCCATGCTCTCAAAAGTGGCTGCTAAATTGGGGTGTTCAATTTTGAAGTACTGTCAAATCTTGTACCCACAATTTGCACACACGAGGCCAGATTCTGCCATCCTTATTCATACTAAGTAGCACTAAGGGGATATTCAAAGTGAGTATGGGCAGCAGATACTGGCATAATCATTTGTGCCCAAATGTCACAAATTAAGTCTTCTGCAGGTACAAATAACTGGGAATGCAACAACTGTGGACACAAATGACTGGGTGTACAAAATTGCCCCTGAAAACTGGGGGGAAGTCAGCAGATGCTCGCTGGGCAGAACCCTCCACTGGTGTAAATCAGCATAGCTTCATTAAACTCAACGCAATGAGGCCAATTTACATGAGCTGTGGATCTGGCCCAATATAGTTACAAATCTGATAACAGAAGCAAAACAGAGTGCTATAAAGATTTTCTGTTCTGTCCCTCTACCGCGATTGATGATACTCTTCATTTGCTATAATTGCTTGAAACTGCATATACACAACCAAACTGTGAGCCAAATCTGTCCTCAGTTACACCCATGCAACCTCGCTACACTGTGCCTTCAGTCACAGGTGTGATTGAGGACAGCATTTAGCTTACTCTGTATTTTGGGCCCAAACCGTTCTCCAAATGAAATCAGCGGTAAAACTCCCATTGACTTCAGCTGGAGCAAGATTGGGACCACCGTACACACACAATCTATATATTGTTACAATAGGGAAAATAATTCTTAAATGGATTTAGGTAGAAATAAGTAGTGAAAAGCAAATATACAGCCTCAAGTATATGTATTCTTCTTGATGGTTTACAGTGTAGGCTTTAAAGCTTGTAAGTGATCGTTACACAAAATATGCACCATATCATGGCATTTCCATGATATAAAATGATGCAAAATCACAGCCATCACTACTGCACCTTGTGAAGATAAAAAATATGCCTCCCAAAAAAACTGCTGTGTGACACCAAAGCAAACCAGAAAAAGAAAATGAATGTAAATAATATGAGTATGTGAAAGTTGTAATTAGATATGTAACTATCTTCATTTACAGTTACATAAACAAAATCCACTAATGAACACCTCCTTCTCAGTAGAATATACACAGCATACATTTGCCTACAAAAGTTTTTTCAAGCCATATATATTTGATTTACAATAAGTGAAAGCTTCTCAGGGCAGGCTTTGTCTATTCTGCTTAGTGTTTTACATAGTTTTATCTTTACCCAATGCTTTGAACCAGCTCTGAGTCTGCACCTTTCCATGTCAGCTTTTCTTCTCCATTTTCATGTCACCTGCCTCCACTGTGTACAGTTGGAAATTATTCTTCAGACTATTGACTAAAGGTACTAAACCAAGTTCTGAACTCACACCTGGGCAGCCCAAGGCACCTTAACCAGGCTGCACAAGTGTCACCCAGGGCAGAATTTGGTCTGCCATGTAGTATATCTTTTTATAAAAGTGTGTACACAAAACTCTCAGAAGTGAATTTATTTCATTACTTGTGCTTTAATGTGGTTGTTTTTTTCCTATTGTTCCTCCAAAGACAATTGTTATAACAAAAATAGTTGAACAACAATTGTGGTTCCTTACCCTTTCTCCTGGTGGCCCTTTGTCTCCTCTGGGACCCTGCAGGAAGAAAAAGAAAACAATGTAATTTGCTGTGCAGTCCTCCAGCAAAATATATGAACACATATAAACAAATTGTATTGCTTAGAATAATCAATTTGTGAAAGTGTGACAAAACTACTATATTATATATGTCACTTGTAGGGAAAAGATCAGTTATATCTATCAAAGTAACTATAACTTATTGAAAAGGAGGAGTAGACTACAACAATATTTTAGTTAGATAAGCACAGACTAGTCTGTGGAAACACATCCATGTAAAGTTGATTTTTGTTTTACTCCACACTGAATAATTAACACTAATATGTTATTTATTTCTAAAAACAACATGTATTTTCTCTGTCATTATAGACCTGAATAGGCATCACTGTTGTGTAAAATGAGTATTTGTCATCAATTGCTTTTTGAAATGTTCTCAAGAATGCTTTCCTAAATATAACTTAGTTCTCTGTGTGCACAATTCTGCTCTCAGGTAAACCAGTGTAAATCCAGAATCCACATTTACATTGGTGTAAATATAGCCCAACAGCTGTTTTCTTCTTTTTACTGTCTAATAATTTAAGTGCTAAATTGGTCAAGTGTCTGAAAAACAGCTTAAATATGTTTCCTTTCAACCTATTTCCAACAAAATGCTAGTTTGCCTGTGAAAATGTTATGTTATCAAAATACTTAAACAAACATTAATAAATAATAATAACAATGCTTACCCTCCGCCGTGCAGTTGCCTAAAAGGAATGAATTATAACAAAACTGAAATTAATAACAGTTCCATCCCAAATCCTATTAAATTACTATAATGTACAAAAACAGAGATTCAGCCTCTTAAATCAAGTTATGTATATATATAATGACTATATTTGTGAAATTGCTCTAAAGTCTAGGAGGAATTATGTATATAGTACACATTATGTTAGATTATTAATGCATACAGCTATCTGTTAAAAACTTAGGTATAAAATTGGCTAGTTTATATTTACCACAGCATGCAAACAAGGTATAAATAAAAGCACACCTGAATTCATTCATAATCCTTTTGATGAAATGACGTTTATAGAGATACTTAAGCTTTAAAGTACAATAATCTCCAACCCAAGGGCCATGTATAATATCCAAATGTCACCACTATGTTATTTCCTCTTTATATTATTTTCACCTACGAAGGCAGTCTCTTAAAAAAGCCCTGCCCATTTGGAAATTGGGGTGGGCACATTTCTAGACAGTCCCTATAGCACTTAATGATTGCTAGCTTTTCCATGATCATCTTGGGAATTAAGGTAAGTGAATGCCAATTCTGAAGAAAAAAGGTGCCTAGCTATTTAGTTAAGGGTGAATATCGTATATTGAATGAAATTATACTGACCTCATTTGCTGGAAAAAGAAGGAAAAAGAAGAAAAAAATAGATTGTAGGTTACAATAACTTTAAAAAGCTTACATTTCAATGCTTGTAAAATACCCCAACATTTAATTAATATTATTAAAATGTTAGTTTACAGTAGTAATTATTGAGATTTTATGTGGAGAAACAGATTGACTAAGGAAATTAAATACAGAGCTATATTTTATATTGTAAGACTTGGATGTACTATGTAGACATGATCCTGCAGCACTTTCTGAGGAAAATCTCCCATCAAAATAATGATTGGGCCTAGGGGAGGGCGGTGAGGGGGAGAGGAGGAGAAGGAGAGGAGAGCAAGTCTCTGTGTGTGTGAGAGAGACAGAGACAGACAGAGGGACAAATCCAGCAACACTGATGCATGAAAAGATCTTGATTGAAAGGAATAATTTTCCATTTTCTTGTAAATGGCTCCAAGCTCATTTTTATGAAGCTGGGGGAGGGGGCTACTTCAACTCACCAATATTTCTGATATGAGAATTCTAAGCACAATGACTACAGATACATTGTATAGGAAAGTAATTAGATTAGCCATTAAATGATAAATAACTCTCTTTATGGACACTTTTGATATTTAGTACTACATAACAAATTGTTCAAAGAGTTCTCACTGCTTTTTAGTGCTTTAAATCCCCAAAATAAAAAAAATCTATAAAATTATGTTTTTCTCATTTTATTTTATTTTTACAATCTGCAAGCAATTCAGTCAAAAAGTGTCTATTCTGGCTCAAAATTGAGCATGTTAATCTGTACTTTACACTATATTTTGACCGCACTGAATTGATATGTTTAAAAATTGGGTTTGCATCTCTTAAATTTTCAGTTTGGCAATTTATTAGGATCAAGACCAATGCCTGTGGTTGGTATAGTTTAACAGAAAGATGACTGGTATAATCCAATATACAGAATATTGATATGTAAAACATATTACTAAAACATCAGTTTGGTGTGCTCCCAAATACCAAACTGAATTCTAAAAATGTAAAATTTTGGGTGTTAAATGATAATTATTTCAAGATAAATTCTCTCCTTATTATCCTTTTGGAAAAGGTCATATGTTCTTAAGTTTAGGGTTGACTGACATAACAGGATCCCCCCATGAATCCCCTTTGTTTTTGGAAGGTCTCTTTCTCTCTTAAAATGTTACTGGATTTGCAAAATGTGTTACTATTTCTTCTTACCACCAGAGGGAGAAAAATGTCTATGTTTAGCCTCAACCAGGGAATCGGGAGGGTCAAATTGATAATAAATAGATAGTGGAAGAGAGGAAGCCAGTATGGTCATAAAGATACTACAATGATAACTTTTTACATCTTTAGATCCCTTTCTGTGCTCTGGACAATCAGTTATTCAACACTGGTCATCATCGCAAAGTCATTGCTGACTTAATGATCTTGACAGATCAACCATCTGTCAGAAAGGATGTCATTGAGTAAAAGCATCATCTGTAGAACAAACAGAGTTTGCTTGTGTGTAACATATTGGATATTTTAGGGGAAATTTATGGGAATATTGTGTTCAAAAGCTTACTTATGGCACCCATGTGCCATTTGAAGGAATACAGCTGGCACAGATGTATTTAGCCAGTTAGATCACTTGTCTAGAGATGCTTCCACATGGGCTCTATGCGCAGCTCATTTTTATAGAAAGTCATTTAAAGAAACAAGTGTTTGGTGTGCAAATGAATTTCAAATGTTGCATTAAAGCAAAGGGACTCTTGAATTTCTCATTCAGTTAAGAGACAAGACTTGTTAAGACCTCTAACGTCTGGTTTGAAAGTTTACCAGAAGGGGTCACTATTCCTGAGCTAAGTGAGTGTGCAAGAGAAGAGCTCAGCGTCTCCATAAGGCAATACTAGGAATATTAGTTCACTTTTTACACAAGAGCTCAAGAAATATTTTTTCACATTGTCAGATTTTTTTCCCCAAACAAGTGTTTTCTTTCTCTCTCCAAATGTATGATTTTAACTTTTCTAGAAACCAACCAGCCAACCCCCGAGAGATCTGAACTTTAATAACTTCTCCTTTTGGGGCTGTATCTAATCAACCGAGACATTCTCCATTCTTTTCCAGAGTAAATCCATCCCCACTCCACAGACTTTGAGACGGGGTGCCCTGCACTACTCGTTTCCTCCCTCCAGAGGGCGCCACTTGGGCAGAAGCCAGGATCAGCAGCCCAGACAAAGATGTACAACGCCCTAACGTTACTGTTCTTGCAAGGAGAGGGTAAGCTGTTGCTTTCCAATCCCTCCCCCTCATGGATCTTTTAAAAAGTCAGTCTGAAGTGCTACCCAAGTATAATTATAGTGCAGCTAGGAAGATAGCTCTGCCTCCTATAAATATCCCCCTGCTAGGAGTTGAAGCATCTGCTCACAAATGAAGACTTTCAGTTCTCCATAGAAAACAACCCATCTTCTTTAGGAAGAAAGGGGGAGCTCCTTGGCCTCCTGCCATCCTCAGACAGAAAAAGAGCGGGGTTTTTTTGGGCGGGGGGAGCTTTTAAAAAAAGTGAAAATCCGAACTGGCTCAGTGGCAATGACATTAGATGCTGGCTGTATAGCTCCACACTGACAGACCCCCGATCCCCTCCTCACCCTCAAAGGACAAGAAGTCTAGGGCGAGTGGGGAGTCTAGGTCACCCCCCCCCAAAGAGACCTCCCCACACCGCAAACAAGCTGAAAGCACTTACATTGACATGTTGCTAGGTATGAAGTTACTGCGAGCAGCAACAAAATCCGTGTATCCACAAAGCTGAGCATGTCTAGTTGCTAGACATGCAGACTCCTTGTGTTGCAGAGCCCCTGGTCGGTGGTTAGATATTACCTATGGGACGCAGGCATACAGTCGTGGCGAGTAACTCCAAACTTAGCAGAAACCTGCTGCCCGGGATGCTAAAATAATAAAGCCCCGCTCGGCCGTATTTATACGGCAGGAGGTTCCCTGGGCTGGCGGGTCCCCGAACGCCTCGCAGCCAATGGCGGAGCAGCAGCCCTGGGGGCCCCGCGAGGCTCCCAGGCCGTCACGTGCTCCTTATCTCCGACCTGCCCCGGCAGCTTTGGCAGCAGCTGGGGGGCTGGAGCGAGGGCGGGGCAGAGGGCTGGGGAGGGGGGCGGGGGGGGCAAATTGGTTCCATTCTTCGTGAGGACGTGGCCACGTTGAGGCTTTAAAAAGGAAAATCTGACTCGCTGTCTGGTTTGGCTTCCTCGTTGGGGTGGGGGTGCGGGGGGGCTGGGAGCTGCCAACCTGCTCGGGAGCTTTCGAGCAGCCGCCGGGAAGCTGCTTTCAAAGCAGGAGCTGTCCAGGTCCTGCGATACCTCGTGCCCTGCCCGGCTCACGGTGGGTGGAGAAGGGGGGAAGCAGCGAGTGCGACAGGGAAGAGCTGGAGCGGCCTGGAGCCTGGTGTGGGTTTGCTCCCCAGGATCCCACACTGTAGCAGCACAAGCCGGACGCTCCTACCGACCCCATCAGATCCAGATCCCCATGCGTGCCCGCACTACTGCACCTCAGACCCCTGATCCGCCACCGGCAGCCAGCCCCCCCCCCCAATAAACCACTGGGGTAGGTGCCCTGCTTCCCGCCGCCTGGCACAGGCTGGCAACCAGCCCCAGTAGCACCTTGCCTGCATCTGTTCAAAGCAGAATTCGTTTCCAGATGAGCCTGCTTCTGTCCCAGGCGGTAACGCCAGCCAGGACTCGGGCTTCCAGTGTGTTCTCCTCCCTCGGTTTTTGCAGTGGGTTTTGCAGCGGGACAGGCAGGGGCGCTGGGGTTCAGTAACGGGTCCTGCCAAATTCCCACCCCACTGACAATCTCTGTGCCACCCTCAGCCCCACGGAGAGCACGGAGAAGAGTGGGAGTTTGTGTGGGTGCACAGTCTGAGCGGCTACCAAAGAAGAAACACACTCTGAGCTACGGTCCCAGCTGTTCGTTTGCAGCGCCTAGCCTGCAAAATGCAGCTCTTTTAACGTCTTCTGCAGTGAGCTATATAGACGCTAACGATATTAACAGATTATATATATATATATGGTGCTCCATCATCCCTGTCTGTGCTACCTGGTCTCCCCCTTCCTCCCCACCCCCGTGTGCCCCCTTTCATCTGGAACAGAAATCCAACTGATCAAAGATGCCACATATTTACGTCCCGTTACAATTAAGCGCCCTGAGTCTGGGTCCCGGACATCCTTGCTCCCTCACCTCCTAGTCCCCCCCCGTTCCTTTGCACTTCTGCCAGCTTTCGGGCTCTGGCTGGCTCCCAGTGCAACACAAGCAGGGCGCGAGACGCTAGGAGATGAGCTTTTCCCAGTCTCTTACAGTGCCAGATTTTCTATGCCCTGGCCTCAGCCAGAGGTACTTGGGGTTAAATCTGTCTCCAGCATCAGCATCTCACGGCTCGCTTGCCTCTTCCCCTGCAGCAGGCGGCCTCGCTCGCTGTGATCTGCGGTGGCTGAAAGGGAAGCTGACGTGGTCATTCCCAAGTGCCAAGATTGGGTTTCCAACAGCTCAGGTCTGCCTGCCCCCTCTGCCCTGGCCCGAAACAGCTGTAGGTAGCTCAGGTGCAGCCCGATCTGCCTCCCGCGGAGCAGTTCCCAACCCCCCTCCAGTAAATTGCTTCCCTTCCTCAAAACCCGAAGCGTCATTAAAAGGAGCCAAGAGCCGAACAGACGCGGTTAATTGCAAAGGCAACTAGCCTCGGGGGGCTGGGATCCAAGCCTGCCCCAGCTCTCAGCAGCGGAAGGGGCGAGAAAGAGGCCTGCGGGCTGCAGTTGCTCCTAACTCCCCCCCCCTTTTTTGTTGTTGTTGTTGTTCCAAGGCAGAGACATTCCTGCTCAGACACACGAACTAGCAGCAACAGGTCCCCGCTTTTCCAAAAGGCTGCTGTGTACATGGGGTAGGGCGGCTCAGAGGAGCCCATGGCAGAGGAAAGCAGCTGTTCGTTGGGGATGCTAACTCTGCGCACTGGAGATGCACCTCTGCTCTTTGAGCTCTTGCTTTCCTTCCCTTGCTGAAATGTTTCCGGTCAGATTTTAGGTGTATACTGAAGCGCCACTGTGTTCGGCCAGGTGCTGCTGGGTAGTGGGAAAATGGGAGCTGCTGCAGCCACTGGACATGGGAAGAAAGCACCTCACTTTGTACTGGATACAGCAGCATCGGAAGTTTAACCGGCACGCCACATTGACTCAGCAGCTAATGCCACGTTGTTTTATTTGAAGTGCTCTATGCCAGTAGCGTTACCAGAACCGGCCAAAGGAGAAATTGGTGACCCCTCGCTCATCGCCGTGGAAGTGTGTTTATATCCAGACCAATACTCAGTCATGGCATGGGACTTGCTCTAACAAACAGGAACACTGACGCTAAAAACATGCATCACAAACAAACCTTCATACTCTTACCTAAAACACCTAATTATACCTATTCTGGCTAAAGGATAGCTTTAAATCATGTATTCATTTGACAAAATACACCCTACCACACAACAGCAGGGGTGCTGGAACAATTAGTCCAGCGGAGGTACTGAGTGCTATTTAACTTAAGTGTAAACCCTAGATGATGGAATAGACTTCAGGCCCCCAACACTCCTAGTTCCAGCACTTTACCAGACAAACAGAATATAATACAGTAATAAAACAATGACACTTAGCATAAAACCTTACATACTATCTGCAGTCTGTGTATTTCATGTGTGATAGTGACAAATACAATATGACAAAAAAGAGAACCTAGCTAACATATTTCATTCCATTATATTTAAATTTCTTAAGCTGTATCAAACTCATTCAGTGAGGCTCATGTCAAGAAAGAAAATAATAAGGCTATTCCTGACACTATTATTCACAATAAATAGTACTTTATGCTTGGGATAGTCCCACTGAAATCAATCATCTGACTCTGTGCCCTGGTAGTGTCTCTTTGCTGCATTAAAAATATAATTTTGACTCTAAATGACTTCAGTGGGAGCATAAATCACTATACACCGAACAGGTGGGCTGAATCTGTTCAAATAAAGTAATTTCTAATCCATCTGAATTATTTCAGATAAAGGTGGCCTGTCTAGTTTAGTGTATTAAAGGGCTAGGAGAACACATCCAACATGGGGTTCTGTGCTGGTGCAGAAGTCCAGTCACATGGAGCAGCTTGCAGTACTGGGATTAAAATGCGAAATTCCATATCAGCCAGCATCTTGTAGGGTAAACAAAAAAAAGCAGAATCTATATTTACATAAATTATTGTCTGATTTGTAGGGCTCCCGTGGGAGAAGGTTGGCCTGTCCATTTCCACCACCATTCAAAAAACATCTACACTAGCCTGCCCTTGCTTTGGTGACTTTGGGATTTTTCACGACTCAGAGCTGGCCTTTGAAGCCTTAGGCCATCCTGATTTGGGGGAGGTAGACATGTAAGGGAGAAGCTCAGCTTTCTGTTCTTTACTAAAGTGAATTTCCAGCTCTTTTCTTTCTTGGGCTGGTGAAAAGGGAGAAGGGTTAGAGAAATCTCTTCTTCTCTTCCACCACGCACACATTCTAAGTTAAGCAAAATGCATTCATTTTGGGGTGTTCCCCAAAGAATCATCATTCTTATTCTCCTTAAAGGAGAATCTGACCCTCCTCCCCCAAAATCTTCAGGCTGGTCTCATTCATAGTGGTGTGATCATGGCATACAGCAGTTGGGTATGCTCAGGAGAAGATGGCCAATGTTGCTTAGCAAATCTATTTAAGAATGCTAAGACCAACTCGGATGCTTGGAAAGATCAAAGTGTTTCTGAAGAACACTGGGTCTTCAGTGAATTCTCTCTCATTTTGGAACCACACTGTGAAGTGGAAAATTATATGCATTTCTGGCAGAAAATAATGGCTATAGCAAAGTTCTTATTTTGTAAACACTTTTGCTAGCACAGGCACATTGAAATTCATTGGAAAGAGTAACATGACATCCCTTGCAGCCTTTAGTATAACAGAAATGTCTTGACCAACCAGCCCTAACCAAAAAAAGAGAAAACGGAGAAAAATATAGTATCAGCCATTCCACTCTTGGGATTCATTTTTGCATTACATCTTATTCAGCATTTGAAGAAATTATCTTGTCTGAACATACTGTAGCCAGCAATGTCATAGGCAAAATTCAAACTGAAATTGCTAATAATACAAAATATCCTGTGACAACTCTGCTACAAAAGCAATCTTAGAAAGATAGGAGCTTCCAGAGGAAGCCAAATGAAATTTATTTCTTATAATTTTCTATCCTGTAGCATATCTATTAAAAAAGCTCATGTAAATGGTCAGAAAGATAGAGTTCTTTGCAGTAAGTTCCAGTGGGAGGATTCACTCATGGAAAGAGTAATTTTTCCCTACTTATTTCTTCAAAGAACTATAAACTAATCCTCAGGCCATTACTGAATTTCTACTTCAATCTGAAATAGTTGTCCAGTCCAGTAGTTTAATCCAGGATGGCAAATCCTTTGTTCCTAGAAAATATACCATTCCAGAGCTATTGTATACTGAGAAGAAAGAGTCTACATCTCTGAAACCACAACCCCTATATACAGAGATGGACTTTATGACTGGTTGGAATGCTCTTGGAGAATGCTCACTGAAGTCAATAGGAGGTCCTTGCTGTCTGTCGCCAGGATTAAGCTATTTAGGGACAACAAGACCTTCTTGGAGGAGGGCAATTCATTTCTAGTACTCATTCGCAATGGAAAAGTCAAAATTGGTCCTTTAGGATCAATACAAAAACACATTTATTTCCTGAGCTAGCTGGGGACTGATTGCTAGTGGTTGCTAGCTTAATTAATCAGCAGTGGATTTAATATCAGAGTGTCGGGAAGTAGTAGGGACGTGATCTCCAGCACTTGAGTTGGGGAGAGGAAACAGTTGGTAGGACCACTATTGCAGCCTTTTGGTGGGGTGCAACTGACTTCCTGTGCTTCACTTGTCTCATTCAGTAAATAATTGTGCTGCAAGAGCCAAGGCCTGGTCTTTTCCCGGTCCCTCCCTCCCTGCCCCGGGGAGAGTAGTGAGGACTGCAATTGCCTAGATCTTCTATGGGGCATGCAAAATGAAGGGCCTTTCCTCCTCACTGTGCATCCATGCAAGGGCATCCATGAACAACTTTATCCTTTATAAACATTGCATATTTCTCAAGGGAGATCAGGTCAAATTCATTCTTAGTATAACTTCAATGAAGTTACATCAGAGATCAACGTGGCCCACTACATGATGAGATTGTCACTGACAAGTCATCTAGGTGCTATATTTTAGCTTCCCTACATCATTTTATGTATTTTACTTTGTAATTTAATTTCCTCAAGTCTTTCTATTTCTCCTGCTTTGAAACAGTGAAGATATTAATAACAGAGACATCTCCTTCCATTAGTTACACAGTGAAGAGAGGAGCAAGAAAAGGCCTTATTCATTCAGTAGCCATGGAATTTTTATTAAAGCAGTCCCAGAAGGAAAGAACTTTCTCATTGGATAAAATTTTCAGAAGTGTCAAAGTAATGTAGGAGCTTAATTCTCACTGGTGAGATTTGAGTGCCTATGTCTCTTTTAAACATGAGACTTAAGCACTTTTGAAAATTTTACCCATTGCCTGCAGGAATTCAGTCACTTCAGAAGCTCAATTCACTTTAATTTGCTTTCTATAAAAAAAAATCTCTGTCTTGTTTTAGATGACATGTGCAGTATGCAACATGTCTTTACCTGTACAGATGGCTGTGTTAGACTGTAGATGTGCATACCAAACAGGATCCAAACATGAAGGATCCATATCCAAGGGCAGGTGCTCACTAGATGACATAGGGCAGATTTTTTTCTAAATAGCCAGTTATTTTCTCTTTATTATGACTAGAAATTGTTTTGTGTTTGCAAAGAGGATTTTGTACCGAGATATGGAAAACTGCAATTGTTACTCTTTTAATAATTTAGGATTTAGATGGCAGTATCCATTTTACTTTAGAAATTACTCGTTGGCTCTTTATCAGTAATCAGCAGTTATTTTTCACTGTGCAGCCAAATTTTTCAATAGTTAATTTTAAGGCAAAGTACAGTTTGGTAAACCCTCAGAATTTAGCCAATATAAATGTGGATTGCTATATTTATTGTATCCTGCCACAATATGGATGGCAATGCCTAAATTATCCTATGTTTTATGCCTTTCTCAACTAAAGCACATATGCTACTAAAACTAAGTGCAATGCAGGAGGGTGAGAATTTTTTTTTAATTGAAAGAATTCACTGCTCTCTATTTCCTTTTCCCATCTCAACTGTGTGCACTGTTTCTTGCACCTCTTATTGCTGGATCCTACTTCACTTCCTGGAAGATAATCTGTGGAGAACTGTAAAAAAACTGGTAGTGGTAAAAGAGGACACAAGGCCAATCAGTCTGATGTTCTTGATAAGAAACAACAATGGATATATATGTTCCTTTATTAGGAAGTTGTTGCTTTGAGCTTAATCTCTCTCCTCCCAAATTTCTTTGGAGAAGTTGCCCAATGAGGTCCTTCTTAACAGGTTCTCCACTAGCACAAAGAACAGGCTACAGTCACTGCTGTCTTAAGACTTCCATCCCTCCAATATCATGGGCTATTGGCACTTAAAAATAAATAAATAATTGTGCTGAATTCATTTGTACTCAGGAGGAGCAAGTATCACCGCTGGTTCCAGTGAGAACAGATGACAAAGTGGGGAGGTTGGTGACAGCTGCAACCTGATAGCCCAGGGAAAAGGACTATTGTATGGACAAGAGGACCAGATGAAAAGGAAAACTTCCCATTATTATACTGAAGCGAGGACAAAATCTTAGTTTCAATGGAATAGTTCAGGACTGCCCCACTAAAACTGGCCATCCTACTCAAATGTGACACAAATTCTAGCAATGACAGTCAATCAACAGGTTTCTGGATGATAGTAGCTGTTAGTTAATGTATGTACAGTATTTCCCATCTTCTCTTAATCCTTCAAATGCTATACATTGTGTAGGGGCCAAGAGGCTTCCTGGAATGCCAATAAAATCAAGGTTTGGTTCAAATCCTGACTGAAGGCTCTGATTGGTTCTTATTTTAACTAAACCTTTTTGTCATTCCTTTGCTAGATGCATCAGTCCTAGCATCCGCTGTCTACTTTTAAGATCCCTATCAACCAATGTTTCTAGTTTAGGTCAACGGTCATACTTTAATACAGAGACAGGTAATTTTTATGTGGCAATTTTTGAAGATTCACTTTTCTAACAGCAAATTAGGAAGCAAGCTGTTTTTTGGAACCCTATGCACCTCACCTCTAGACCATTTTCTAGCTGTAAACCATCAACTGGAATTTAAAAAGAGCTCTCACGATTGGTCTGACTCTGTTCCCAATGAAGTAATTGAATGGGAAATCCCATTGACTTCAATAGTAGTGGAGACAGGCTGATGTAGAGTTCTTTTGAAAAAGCCACATGACAGAATTTTAGAGTTACTTCTCTGTCTACTTTAAGCACCACAAAAAGTTAGTTTTGTTCGCCCTTTCTATTTACCAGGCTGACAAATTTAGTATTGACAGGATTATGATCTATAGTAGAAGCAAAAAGGACATAAAAACTAAAAAAGTACTTTTAAAAGGATCTTCAACTTCAAAAAACAAAACAAAACAACCACAATAAAAACAATTGGTCGAAAAACCAGGTTAAATGATAGCAAGTCAGATGCCAATAGAGTTACACCAGGGAAGAATATGCTTCTTCAGATTTCATTTAGTAGGTTGGCAATGGCTCTTTTAAAATGCTTTACACCTTTACTACTGAAGTTTTATATAGGTGCGTTTATGAAGGAAAGAAGGTAGTGTACTGCATCTCACAAACAATCCTGATGAGCGTACTCGCTTTTATACTTATGAAGATAGTGAGAAGACGCACAGTAATGATGAGTGCTGAATGCTAAACGCACTGACAAGTCTCTAATATTACAGTCTGTTTTGGTGCAGTCTGCTTGGTGAACACTTTCAATAAGCAGATTACTGAAATGGAGATCACTCCCATTTAAGGTGCAGATGTGCCTTTTGTGATGTGGTTGGTGCAGAGCTACCCTACCCACAGAGGAGCACCAGGAATTAATCCAGCTCAACAGCAGGATGTAGACTCCAGCATTCACTGGGACAATCCCTTTGCAGCATACAGCAGACTCTCCCTATGCACTGATTCTGCTCTAAGCACTGGTGTGGGCCATGAACACATCTCTTCTCCACCCCTTTGGGCCCCTGGGGGTCTGTAGGAGTACCGTAAGACTAGTGCTTCTGTGCCCTTGCACACAGGAACTGTAATTGTTCCTGCTAGCCTGGCCCTTTCACTCACAAAGTGAAGGCTCTTTCCACTCTCCCCTGCACTGAATATCCATATAAGATTCTGGCGCAAACTGTCCTTTAGAAGGCAGGCAAGTGTGTGAAATAATAAGCAGTTTCTATTAGAACTTTTCCAATTGTGCTCCCCCTTACCATTCACAGGATTTGTTGTGCCCCTCCCTCCCTTACTTGTAATGTGAAACTGGGGTTTTGTGCATTACTTGTAATCTGAAACTGTTTTTCAGGCTGGAAGGTGGAGGGGAAACACTGAGATGAGACTATTCATTCATTCGGTTTAGTGTTAGAGCATCTGACTCACTCAAGAGGTCCCAGGCTCTCACCTATTATGATATATGTTGCCAGTTTATGTCTTAATATCACTTATTAATCATTAAATGAGTTTTAAAATTAATGAGAATCAAAACTAAGTAAGCCTTCTGTAATGATGAAACTTATCAAATTGTTGAAAATAAGCCAGCTTGTGCTTTTCTTTGTATGTTTGTTTTTTAAAAGGGTGAAAGGCTGGAGTTTCTTAGCCCCCTCCACCTCAGAGAATCTCTTGTACCCCCCCAGTTTGTGCACCCCGGTATTAGACCTTAGTGTTCTCATGGGTTTTTCATTAGCAATGTAATTATTCAAGTTTTGTGCAGGGCAAACTACTGGCTATTCTATGCCAAGAAACGTTGTGGCCATTGATGCGCTGTGCTAGTGCTGAGATGTTTTTTCAATAACAGGTTTAGAGTTATTTAAGTAGCTGACCCTCTCTGCCTAAAGGCTATGAAAAATAAACATTTAAAAATGAGTGACTAGCATAAGAGTGATCTTGAATAGCACACTAAAGTGGCTGAGCAGTTGATTATTAGGTACATGTATTAGATAGAATCTCGTAAAAAAGATCACACTCCCCATCCAAAGAATTTGACAGTTAAGTGGGAAGTATACCTGGCTACTAACATCCACTATTTATTTGTTTTCTGTAACATTTTAAATTGTATGTGATAGAATGCATGAGTTGCACACAGAATATATATACCTTGTCCATCTTTATGTTAGCTCAGTGAGAAAAGTACAGTTTTTTTCTTCAGTTCCCTAACTTAAATGTAGTTAACGTTGTCAGAAAAATCCACCAATGACCTGAGGCTAAGAATAGAAAATTCCAACTGAACAGGCAATATTTTTTCCAAGAGGTTATGAACATCTGAACATTCAGGATACAAATGCAAATGTATTGCAATGTTTACTCTAATTGTGTCCATCTGCACATCATATAATGATCTGTTTCACTTTCTGGTTCTCATATATTATTATAATATTTGGGTTTGGGTTCCCAACACTTCTGGGGAATATTGAAACACCAAAGAATTTCATGAAAATATTTCTAATCATATTAAGTTTTGAACAGAATCTTGTTTATTTACAAAATATATATGATTAGGTCTAAACTACTTTTTAGTAGTGTCCTAGTGTGCCAGCCATAAAAGCTAAAATTAAGTTTTCTGAGAAAAAGTAAAATACACGTCATTAGTAAAGATGTGCTGAGGAGGCCGAATTGTTGCTTTGCAACATCTAATTCAGTGGTGGGCAACCTGTGGCCCATGGGCTGCAAGCGGCCTGTCAGGGTAATCCACTGGCAGGCCATCAGACCGTTTGTTTACATTTGCATGGCCGCCTGCAGCTCCCAGTGGCCGCGGTTCACTGTTCCTGGCCAAGGGGAGCTGCGGGAAGTGGGCCACAGGTTGCCCACCACTGATCTAATTGATTAGGTTTTAGTTTTCCAAAAGCAAACTCAAAATCAAGGGTGATTCAGCCCAGGTTCCATTTTATCTAAACTATCCATTTTTGGAAGGGGACAGAGGTAGTTTAGGATAAGATTCTTGTTTTAGAACATCTCTAACAAGAAGTGAAGCTTATCCCACTCCCTAAGGTGTAACTAACAACCATGGGCTGAATCCTCATTAGTCAAGCTAGCAGAAAAGGGAAAATTATTCATATTTTGCCTGTTTTTTTAATTTGAATTTTCAGAATTCAAAACATTTCAGTCAGCTCTATGCATGTGTCCCAAGCCGGTGCTTGGAACATCTGAGCGGGACCAAGGCATCAAAGACAGCTTTCCACACCCAGATCCTGGGGCCATAACTAGTGGCCTGTTCTAAATTGTGCTAACTTGTTACGGCCTCCTAGGGGCCAATATACAAGCAGGAATTGCTGGTCACCCACCCTCCCAAGCCAAGGGAATCTTAGGGTTCTTATGTAGGGCACATTTAGGTCTTATTTGTATTGCTATGATGGCATAACGGGGACTAGACTGGACCAGGATCTGGCCCACTGTTGGTAGCTTTCAGAGTAGCAGCCGTGTTAGTCTGTATCCGCAAAAAGAAGAACAGGAGTACTTGTGGCACCTTAGAGACTAACAAATTTATTAGAGCATAAGCTTAGGTGTTGTGAAATCATAGAATCATAGAACTGGAAGGGATCTTGAGAGGTCACCTAGTTCAGTCCCCTGCACTCAAGGCAGGACTAAGTATTATGTAGCCCATCCCTGACAGGTGTTTGTCCAACCTACTCTTAAAAATCCCCAATGATGGAGATTCCACAACCTCCCTAGGCAATTTATTCCAGTGCTTAACCACTCTGACAGTTAGGAAGTTTTTCTTAATGTCCAACCTAAACTGCCCTTGCTGCAATTTAAGCCCATTGCTTCTTGTCCTATCCTCAGAGGTTAAGAAGAACAATTTTTCTCCCTCCTCCTTGTAACAACCTTTTATGTACTTGAAAACTGTTATCATGACCCCTCTCAGTCTTCTCTTCTCCAGACTAAACAACCCAATTTTTTCAGTCTTCCCTCATAGGTCATGTTTTCTAGATCTTTAATCATGCCAGTTCTAGACCTTTAAAAATGCCAGTTATTAGACTCCCTATAAAAATGAAGCTTTTATTTATTTTATTTGTGCTTCTTTTAGTCATAACTGAAAGTAAAGTGAACTTCAGTGAAGTATTAAGCTAGGCTGAACTAAATGATCTGATCCTGCAATTCATATTTATGAGAATTAAGGTTGCAGGACTAGGTCTGAAATGGATTAATAATCTAATGGCTAGCACCATGACCACTGGTTAAAGCAACAGCATTACAGTGACTTTGGGGGATTTAGGTTTTTTTTTCTTTTCAATTTCTCTCTATCACTCTCCTGTGAAAAGCTCACCATTCATGAAGGCAAGTGTGACTGCCTGTGTTTTCTGCCCTCTAAGTTAATGGGAAATGGACGTTGGGTGATGCAGCCAACTGGAGTTGAACTCCCTCACTGAATTCATCATGATGATGCACTGCTTACATCTAAAAAAAATACACTGGCTGCAAATGAAAGTTGGCTCCCTCCTTTTACCCTTTCCATGAAACTGGAGAGAAGCCAAATATAAAAGGCTTTCAGCTCTGCTACGCATTGCTCTATAGTTTAGGGGGTACCTGGTCATATTCTAATTTTTGTGAGTGCTCTTTTAAACACCAGTTTATAAAATTCAACTGAAAATTTAAGCTTTCTTGTGAAATATTACTTGAAGCTATTATTTTGCACTTGGTGGAAAATATGAGACAGTCATATCCTTAGTTAATATTTTTGCAGTAAACAGCCAGGTCTAAATTTTTTTAAAAGTGACTACACAGAAGTATGTCCATATTTTTTCACACACCCTAGTTGTGCACCT